TTCCATGCCTTTCCCAAATTGCTGATCAGTTTTCAGCTGGAGCCAGCTTCTCTCAGGACCTTTTGGCGTGCGTATCAAGTGCCGCCTTGAGTGCGACCTTCACTGTGCGGTGGACAAGCTCTTTGATCCTACAGCTCGCCATGAAGTTGTTCGAAGCAGCTGAGCAATTGATTTGATGACCAGATTTGGCTTGATAGGGTGGGCCTCTTTTCTAATCCTTTGTTTAGTAACTTTGTAGTAATTCCTTCGCCAGCAATGTCCGCCCACACCCCGGTTGAGGCTCCTCGGCCATTTCATGTTCGCAAACTGTTTGCTGGGAACATTAAGCACGCAGTCCGTTTTATATGTGAAAATTGGTGGAATTCATGGGAATTCAGCCACCATGTTGCGCTTTGTTGACTGTTTGTTTTTTGGATCACCGCCAAAAAAACGATGATATTCACATCATTAACGACGTGTTCTGCTGATGAGGCAAGACTTGCCGGTACCTATACTTTTGAGGCCAGAACGTTTGGATAGAATGGCCGGATCGCATGCAGCTGGAAAAGCAATCAGCTGACAGACCTATCCAAAGCCCACAGAGACCTGACGTAGACATCCCAACCCATTTCCACAGTCTTTTGTAACAAGTCTTGTGTTAAGGGTCAGGTTGGCAAGAAGATATGGACAAAGATTGTGGCCAGCTGCTTTGCCATATTGTAGCGCAGGTAGTCTTAGCAGAGAGTTGCTTTGGTGCTAGATCCCACATCAGATTGACAAACGTCATACTTCTGATGGTTGAAAATTTGAATATTTGGCCGGGCTTTGTGCCATTGCGCCGTTTTGTCAGAAGATCAGCTGCGCATTCCGTACGCTGTTGCTTTGGTGCCGTCCTCCGCTTTGGACGCGGACTTTGCCTTGCACGAAGCACAAGGTTCGAACTGGGCACCCTGTGAGGAAATTCATTGTCATCCATTTCTACGGTCTTGGTCACTTGCAAGGAAGTATCAGAGGTAATGGCAGCCAACCCTGTCTTGCAAAACCATTCCAATTTTACTCGCTGTGCTGCCTGCATTTTTATGAACCAAGCACAACCTTTTTGGCTCCAATGTGCTTTGCTTCAGAAGCCTTCAAGAGCCTTCGAATCTCCTCACATCGATAGTCTTGTTTTCAGGTGGGCAGGCCGCCACACGAAGAGTATCCCGAGATGGGATCGCTGCGTGTGAAACCCTGTTTCAGGCCGTTACAGTTTCCCACCAGTTCTCTAAGAGCACCCATCCACCGTCGGACGTACGAGTCTCAGCGATGAGAAGGGTTTGCTCTGAGGTTTGCAGGGAAGAGCCCTGTCCGAATTCAAAACAAATTCAGGGTTCAGATTCTTTTCTGACCTTGAAAGAGGCCATGCTATCGGAGCCCTGGTGCTGATGAATAGGATGAATGAAAAGACAGCGGAGGAGGGGAGTTCTGCGCACGCCCGCGGCATTAGCTTTGCCAGCATCCCCACATGGAGCAGAGTTTGTTTTGGAGAAGATGTTTGAGGTTGGCATTCCGTTCGTGATTTTGATTAATTTGCATGTCCCTTTGTGCGGTGGAACTGTGGGGTTTCTACCCTGGTATCCAAAACAGCTTCACCTTTGGCAGGGCGTGGATTGGCTAGATCTTTGCTATAGACAGCTCTCCTTATGCCATTTGGGCGGACCTCAGACGGTCTTGGACCTCCAGGTGCGCCGCCTGAACCGGCTGATGGACAGATTGTCGCCAGGCCGGGGTTCAGCTTGGCGCTGAATGACTTCAGTACTGGATCTCTTGGACTCGAAGAGGGTGTCCTCGAAGACAACCAGAACCACGAAGTCTCCGGACCTTCTGGTGTCTCCAGTCTCCTGAGAAGTGAGCTCCTTGTCCCTTCTTTCCTGGCAGCGCCCTGGGTGCCCTCAAGGGTGGTCGCCTGTGGAGTCGGGGATCGTCCGCAAGGAGTTGGAGCAGTCCTCGAAGAAGACATTTGGACTCATATAAATTTTTCATTGGAGAGAGCCTGTTTTGAACATTAAAAACATCCAAAAAACAAACAAAAGTCAGTCCCAAAAGTCAAAGTCAAAAGACAGAAAGTTTCAGAAAGTCAAAAAAAGCAGTCAATTTGCCCAGATCCGACATTTTTTTGACCTTTATTTTTGTCCGACTTTTTTTGACACCTTTTTTTAAAGTTAATTTTTTACTTTGACTTTTCCATTGTTTCTTTTTTTACATTGTTTTAAATCACGCATTCTGGCCTCACCATACGCAAGTTTTTTGTAAGTTTGGACGGCTTGCCGCACCTCCTCTGGGCTGGGAGCCCCACATGTTTCGTGATAACACAAGTAGGTAGATGGATTCATGCTTTCCAACACATCTTCTATCGATTTTGGGGTGATCCTGGAAACCAGTGTGCCATGATTTGGGGACGGACCAGTTTCTTTGTGCTGCATGCTCTCCGGTGTCTCCAGGCTTTGCCAAGGCTCTGCTGCATGCGCGGGATTCTCACATGGCCAAGCTTTTGCGCTCAGAGCCCTTTGCCTTCGACAGGCTGGGGTGCCAGGGCGGGGCGCCAGAGCGAGGATTGGCAAAGGCAACAGATCCTGGTAGAAGCAGGGTCAACTTCTTGGTGTATTTTGTTTGCTTTTTTGTTTTGTTTTGTTTGTATTGTTTTGTTTTGTTTGGTTTGTTTGGTTTTGTTTGGTTGGTATTGTTTTGTTTGGTTGGTTTTGTTTGGTTTGGTTTGGTTGTTTGACTTTTTTTGTTGCTTGGTTGCTCGGTTGTTTGCTTGCCTGCCTGCGTGCGTGCTTGCTTGCTTGGCTTGGCTTGGCTTGACTTGGCTTGCTTGGCTTGCTTGCTTGCTTTTTGTATAGCTTGTTTCACTTGTTCCACCTGAAGGGACACCAGGCATGTGGTTCTCTTCCTGGAGTCAGGTCGTGCTGCGATTCGTCATCCCAGAATGCTGGGACTCCTTTCCTGCAGAGATTGTAAGCGTGTATGTGAGATGCTTTGCCATCTTGTTTGGCCTGGTTGCCTTTACGGCTTGACGGTTTTCAACTTGGCACGCTTCGAAAGTCAACTTGGGGTTGGAAGACCGGAAAACAAGAGCCCAATGACCGCACCCAACTCAAGTTTGGTGGGTCCAACGTTGAAAAAAGGCACTGCAAAAAACATCTCTTCTCTTTAGTTCTTTCCTTCTACCATCGGGGTAAGACCTCTTTCCACCCAAGCACAGGGCATGAGGTCAATCAAATAACACCTCATCCCACTCTCCAGTCCCACGGACAGGAGGCACCACCTAGTGCTAAGTACAGTAGTCCCAGTCGCATGCCCTTGAAGCACGGGGGCTCTGGAGCTGTTGGGGTTGGTTTTTCATCATCTTGTCAGGGATCGGTTGAGGTCTCCAGATGGTCAATACCTGGAACCCGAGCCCTACCTCCTATCTCCCTGCGTGCGGCCACATCATTTCTGGCCGGGAATCGCCGTGGGCCAAGACCCAAAGAATCACCAAATACCCCATCCTGTGGGCCGATCGTTGAAGTTGATCAAGCCATACGGATCGCAACCTTGTTTGAGAACCTTCAGTTTTTGTTTGAGAAAACACATGGCGCCACTCAGATCCATGATGGCGCCACTCAGATCCATGGACGTGTTTGAGAAAAGGAGATCGATCCATGTTCGCTCTTTTTCTTCGATGGCCTTCCTGAGGGTCCAGGAGTCTTATGGAGTCTTGGTGATTCATGGGGTCCCCAGTTGTAGCTAGTGCCGTCAACACCTTTGCCCACCACATGACACTCTACAAAGTTTCTTTCTACACGGTCTCAGGGCCCTGGTTTTACCGTCTTTTCGTGTGGTTGATCGAAGGTCATTGTTTGAGCTAAAGGTATTTTTGTTGATGTTCCCAAAGGGAGGTGACGGTTTGCTGGCAGACTTTCCTGCTAGGACAGTGTGTGTGGTTGGAATGGCCCACATGGATGGTGTGGCTCGCAGATACACCGATGCAAGTTGGAAGGCCCTAGTGGGAAGCGTTTTGCGACATCCAAAAAGACTCTCCTGGTGCGTTTTTGCATCAGCTTTGTGTAGCTGGAGGATGTGCGAGGCATTAAATGTAGCAACATCCTTTCTTTGTGTGCAACTCCCCAGCAGAATTCGACGATTTCTGGTTTCAGCCACAGCTCTTCATACCTCATCCAGATCATTCGCTTCAGGAAGATTCACCCTGGAAGCCGCCCAAAGATGGACCTCGGCAAGGATTTCAGGTGCGGTTCCGGAGACCAGCGACCGTTCTTGAAATATGTTGAAGCTTGTAGCAACAGGTTGTTCATGGTCGGGCAATAGGACACGTGCGGGCACCCGACATCAAGGGATTGAGAGATTAGGATAGAGTTGGGCTGCATAGAGTCTTCAAAATGGCATGGGCAATAGCCAGGATATCTGAGATGTTTTTCGCCTTTCCAATTGTCGATGACAGGACGAGCGCTGAGCGCCAGCCATCCTGCCATAAACTTGAATAAGTCTTGCCCAGGAGACCGACTTCTTGTCGCTCTTGGGAGAAGCAGCAATGAGGCAGAAGCTCAAGTTTTAACCAGATGCAAAAGGACCAGCAGAGGTTGAAGAACCCTATAGACTATCCTATAGGTACCCCAGGTGACGGGTCCTAGTTCAGGTCACTTGACCTCTGTTGGGATCTCCGGTTCACCACTTCGGGAAGATCCACCTAGTGCTTGGCCCTGCTGGTGAGCCAAGGCGTCATCAACAATTGCAGCGTGTGCCGTGTGCAGCGTGGATCAAAAAGACGTGCGAGAAACATTCGGATTGTGGCTGCTGATGAGGTTGAACACCTTTCTGGGCATGGTATCTGGGTGGTTGATGAAATGTCAGTGGTTGGTTCGCGGGAAGCCGTCCAGATCGGCACAGACCTGCTTCTGCGGCGATTGTGACTGTCCATTCATTCGGGTGATAGGACGACCTTCTTGGAATTCCCAATGTCACATGCACAAAAGTTGCCTAAGGCTACACGATATGTACCGCGGTTGGGGTCAGCTGCATGTTGAGCAGGGGTCCTCAGTGCTTCTTTTTGTGGCAGTCCAACTTGAGCCAGTACATGAGTTTTCCTCAGAATATATATACAGATTCAGATACATACATACATACATATATAATTATATATATATATATATTTGGCCAGGTGTTTTTGTTTGGCAGACAGGGTGCGGTCAATCAAGTGGAAGTTGAGCAAGAGCCCATTCTGAGGTACAGCAGTGAGCGAACGCCTAGAATTGAGAAGGTGGCATTGTCGGTCCAGTTGATGAAGCGGAATGTTGACTGTTGATCAATAGAAACCCCAAGCCGGAAGGTTAGATCATGTTAGATCATCCAGATGGGGGTTTTGATTGATCAACAGTCAACAATCGACACCGGAATGCTTCACTCTGTGTCAACTGTTGGCTTTGGAACATTTATTGCCTTCTGTATTGGCTGCCAGGATGATTGGCCTCATGCGCCCTTCTACGATCCTAAGGTGGACCCAATCAGCAGGCGTCAAACGACGCGGCGTGAGGGATGACGCGTATTGTGGGATCTCTTCGAATGGGCGGTATGGCCAAGCTGCATCCATCAGTCTTCAATCAGCCGTTGCCAGGTCTGAGCATGTGTTACACCAGCGCCTGACGCCTGAATAGCTAAAGGGTCCATGAGGCTTCGTGTGCTGGTTTTCCTGGCAAGTCTGTGGTACACCCGAGGTCTTCGGTCTCGAAGGTCGGATTAGCCCTTGGATGCGGTGAACACGCGGTTGTCATGTCCCTCTGTTGCCATGAGGCCCGTTTCAGATCGTGCACGATGATTGCATGAAAGGAAAGGTGAGGCATGGTGAGGCAGAAGAAGGCTGCATTTTATTAGGGCACGTTGCAGAACAACAGGTGTTTTCGAAGAGTCAGCCATAGACTTCCAGCGTCCAGCGGGTTGTCGCTGGTGTTTGGATCGGATCCATATCCGCCATTTGTGTCTTTCCTGTGGATGGTTGGTACCCTGAGGTGCCGACGTACAGCACCGTCTCAGCATGGAGTACCAACCTCATGCAGCCACCATCCATCCACGCACGGTTCTCACGCTACCTTGTCCTTGCGCCCCTCTTCCATATGCCAATCACCTGCAAGGCCCCAAAGTCGCAGTGGACAAAAAGCACACCAGTGTCAGCGGATCCAGCCCTTCAAGAAACAGGAAGATTTCGGGACCCACAGGAGACCAGGGACACAGGTCGTCTTGTGTGTTCCTTGTCTTGGTGGGATGGCAATGTGGGTATTTTTCATCACAGCCACTGCCCAATTTCTGTGGATTGGAATCCAATCATTTGGTGGTGGAAAAGAGCGTCCACCACCAATTCCGGCACACCTGCTTTTTTCCTTTGCTTCACAGCTGTGTCCTGAGCCTTATCCTCTTCAGCATCGATTTCAGGTTCTTCACTCTCGGAAGCCTCGGAGCCATCACAACAGGAACCTTTCAGACAAGACATGTTTTATGCACCGGTCTGGTGAGAAACAATAGGAAACATCTTGCTGCAAACAAGGGGATGACTTGCTACTTGCTAGATGTTGTACACCAATCGAGTTCCCATTTATCGTTTGGAAAGAAACCAAGCCTGGGCCTTGACCCTTTTGATACGATAGAGGGGTGCTCACTCTGGCACACCTGCTTTCTTCCTTTCCCGAGTCCGGAGTCCTGGGAAGGGGTCTGTGTTTTCTTCGGAGAACCCGGTTTCCGAAGACCGCCACGGACCGAGCGGTCACTTGGACGACCTTGCAGGCTCTCATATTGGTTGCCCTTGGCTGATCACTTTCGTTATCCTCATGTCCTGCACTTCGCCTCGCTGCCCGAGATGCTCCACATGGCGGCTGGGCGGTTGCCGCTGCTTCTGCTGTGAGATACGCCCCCCTACACACAGCTGGAGACCATATTGTGAGACATCGTTGTTCAGCACTTCTTGAAATAGACCCCCCAAAATAGATAGAAAAGTAGATCCCCGCTAAGAATGTATTGGAAACCACTTCTATCCATTTGCGGATTACTATACTATACAACTTGACTTTACCAGATGGTTTTGATGTTCTTTGCCTTGTCTCAGGTGCATCACACCAACTGGGCGGATGTCAGTGTGAAATTGCCCGGCCCCCCGGGTGATGAACGCATTGTTTTGTCATATGAAGGTCCCCCCTCAGAACTGCCCAAGGCGTGCGCACAACCGCAAAGTGATCATCAACAGTGAGCAGCCCGCGACCTAGAATTTCTTCAGCTGGGCGCCTGTTTCTTCATCACTGACACTGACAGCAATTCAAGCGGGCATTCGCTTGGAAAGAAGAACGCCAAGCACATCCATATTCATTTCTAGATGTGGACAACCTGTTGTTTCATGGCTTCAACTTGAAACAAGAAAACATCAGGCTACCTTCCTCATAATTTCAGGATTGGGTTGAATGGGAATTACAACTTAGGTTCTACAGACGAAGCTTATTGGAATTGATTGTGACAAGTTACATTATAGAATACAATCGGATTTTGAATATATCCTTTATATAATCTTTCAATTCCACATTATACTATATAATATAAAGATCTAAAATCCCTTAATTTTAATTTTTGATTTGAAAAAACAAACTATATTTAGGAACATCTATAATGAATACACATATAATTTACTGTAGTATTAAAGGACATATAATTATGCATTAGGTTTGGAAGGCTTGGGTTTGCATTGTTCATCTCATTAGTTATTATGCTTTACTTTATATTTTGACTCAAGGATTCCCCTTTGTAAGGCAAAATGGCTTTTGAAGGGTGAATTCGCGAGTAACGCGATCGTATGCGGTTTATATCGAAGCGCCGCTTTTGGCTACCGTAACGTGGTTGGAGGCCATTGCCAATATGCGAGAAATATTCATAGCAGGCAAGCAGATTGCAGCCTTTCGCCTCTGGGCCTCTGTGCTGGAGATTTAGTGCATCCTATAGCCCCCCCGGCCCAGGGTTTACGTACTTTGTGGAGGCGCATTGGAAGGCGAAGCCCTGTGTCACAGCTGCTGGACTGACTTGCGGACTGGGTCCCCGATAACGCGGCCGCTAGCCGTCTTCTTGAGTGCCTGTGGGTGCTCCATGCCACCTTCGTTCGTCGACGTGGATGCATTCCTGAGATCGAGTATTAGTCGTTGAATAGTTTGAAGTGGCCCTCGTGCGACCTTCGGGTGATTTCGATGAAAGGCATGCAGGAGTGGCTAGTCAACCATACCGGGGTGGGATGGTCTTTGCGGGGCCTAGTAGCGTCGAACATGTCCGGAGCGACCGGACGCAAGGCGTGCTTATAGGCGGTTGTTATCGAGCGACCGATATTGGCCCGCCTGCGGCAGCGTATGCAGGAGCTGTACCTGTACCGGAAATGGAGCGGTTGTTGGGGTGATGGGTCCTTGCTGTAGGGGTGATGCGCTATCGTCATGTCGAGAGGTCCTATCCGGTCAAGCTGACACGTAATACTCTCCACTTGCACTTCCCCAAGAGAAGGCAGAAGGGCAAATGGGATGGATTTATTGGTCCGCTTTTGCACTGGCTGGCCTTGGGCTGAAAAGTGGCTGGACGAGCGGAGAACCTTTCCACTTAAAGCGCGGTCTAGCAGCGGCATTTGGTTGGTTGAATCTTTGGTGGGCAAGCTCCAGGGGAGCGAGTTCATGCAGGGGAGATGTCCATGGGGTCGTAGTCTGACTAGGGAGGTTGCGCGCAGATCCCCAGGTCTATGACTTGATCGTGAAGCTGACGGCGGTCCCAGGTGGCACCCGATGGCAGTTCCCTCTACCGGCTCGTCCGACGGGACCTTGGACTTATGTCTTGTATCTCGGTGGTGGGAATCCATTGGCCATATTTTACGCGATACACGGAAGGTCCCGGGGCTTTACTCCGAAGGATGATAATCGAAGCATCCAACAAAGCTTCTGAATCTTTTTGTTGACATTTCTAGCAACTTTTCCGCGCAACGCTAGGTAATGGCTCCTTGCACTGACCTCCTTGGATGGCGTCCTTTACGCACTGCCATATAATTGCAGACCTTCGGGTGCACGTATTCATAAGCTCCGTCACTAATACTGCCGCACCGATGACGAAGACCGCTGAACTTGCAACATTTCAATTCCAAGATATTCCAATATTTTTACCAATACAAGCTGAGAGTTGGTAGGCCGGCTGGTGTAGGCAGCCATTCTTTTTCCCCAAACAGTTTACTGTTAGGGGTTCTCAATGCTTTAAAGAATGGTCGGTTCCCGGCTGGCTTGTCTCCCACTTCCTTTCATTTGTCTCCCACTTCTTTCATTTGTCTCCCAGTTCTTTTCGGTGCTTGTGGTCGGGTTCCCGGCTGGCTTGTCTCCCACTTCCTTTCATTTGTCTCCCACTTCTTTTCATTTGTCTCCCAGTTCTTTCCATTTGTCTCCCACTGCTTGTGGTCGGGTTCCCACGTCCTTTCATGTGTCTCCCAGTTCTTTTCATTTGTCTCCCAGTTCTTTTCATTTGTCTCCCAGGCTCGGTGCTTGGTCGGGTTCCCGGCTGGCTTGTCTCCCACTTCCTTTCATTTGCCTCCCACTTCTTTTCATTTATTTCCCAGTTCTTTTCATTTGTCTCAGGCTCGGTGGTTGTGATCGGGCTCCCACTTCCTTTTTCACATGTGTCTCCCACTTTTTCATTGTCTTGGCTTGTCTCCCACTTCCTTTCATTTGTCTCTCACTTCCTTTCATGTGTCTCCCGCTTCTTTTCATTTGTCTCCCAGTTCTTTTCATTTGTCTCCCAGGCTGGGTGCTTGCCAGCTGGCCATGTAGTGCTTCTATACATTTGTCTCCCAGGTCTAATTCATTTGTCTTCCAGGTCTGTCGCTGTTGGTGTCCGCCCTTTTCCACTACTGGCCATGTAGTTTTGCATTTTTTTGGTGAATTTTTTGTATTTCGTTGAATGATTTACGATGGTTGTGCGGATTTGCATTTTCTGAATATTTGGCGTTGAAAGATTTACGACGTGCGTGTGGAGTGGATTTTGGCGACTTTGTTGCACTTGGCGTTGAGCGAAACATTGTTTTGGGGGGGGCAAGGCGGCCACAAAATACAAATAAAGCCACGACGACGTTCCAGTAGACTGGCCGCCGGATACCGCTACGCACCACGCGCTGCGACGTGACGCGGAAACTACGTGACGCCAAAACTTTCTGAAACGTAGTTCGGCTAGAGAGCCTTCAGTTTTGTGAAGCCCAGTTCGGCCAGAGAATCTTGCCACCTTACAGCTCGCCAAATTTCTGAAACCCAGTTCGGCTAGAGAATCTTGCTACCTTA